GTCTAATATAGATATATCTCTCAATCGCATCGCAATCGCTAAATTTCATGATTTTAGTTACGTATAAAATTGGCACACTTATAGACCTTTTTTCATTTGCCACGCCCCCTTAGTGGGCGTTGATTTATCAATGTTGGCCCTGTTAAAAATGTTAGTCAATAAATAGGCTTGGTAGTGCTAGTGACAATTGGTTAGCTATCTAATGTTGGTGTTCTACCTTCAAAATATTCGTAATTATAGCCTTTTCCTGTTTGTCCGACATCCATTAGCTGGGCTTATGCCATCTTTGGCCACTTTTTAAGGAGTTTGAACGGAAATGTTTGGATAACTGGATACAAGTTTGGTATACAGATTTTTCTCTATTGGGTATATACATATATTTACTATATGTTCTTAGGTGCTCAGACAAGTCATCAGATTTTCTATAACGTTTCCGTCAAAAACTCTATAAAAGTATACGTGTATTAAGTTTTGATCTAAAATTTATACGCAAGCAATTAAAATTGATCTCAAAATAGCAATTTTTTAGCAAGCCTCGAGACAATGTAGATACATACATATGTACATATATAGTTCAATGGTTTCATCAAAAATTGCATTGCAAATATTTATCCATTTCGGTAACATAAAGCTAACATATAAAACTTCCGGTTAAAACTCTATAAAAACTTGGATTTACAATTTGCTTTAATTCAACTTGTTAAGTTTGTTGACAAACCTGAGAGACCCTGGAAATGCAGACGCTAAAGGTAACAGCCAGAGAGTACGGGATGGAGGGAGCTAGGTAGAGTGAGTCAGAGTAAGTGAACAGGGGGGGAAGGGATGAGAGGTAGAGAAAACGATATTACTTTCATTAGCGAGCGTCTCTCATTAGCATGAAGTAGCAAAAATGTTGGATGCTTGGACAGCAGCTGTTGAGTCCTGGCAAAGCAGGCATGGGGTTGGGGATAGGGGATGGAGTCGCCAAAGCGTGGGATTATGTGGCTAAACGAATGAACTTTGCTAATTGATTGACCCACAACAGCGGGGCCAATGGGCTGTCAAGGTTAAAGGATATTCAAACCTAATTAAGTTGCGATTTATATACATACATACATACATATATACATATATACATGTCTAGGTATACACACATATTCATATAAATATAGTATTTTCTAATTAATAACATAGACTGAGACATAGAGTTTGCAGTTGTTAAATCTTATATTAAGTTGAAGGTAATTGCCTCTAAAATATAGATGACAGATTTTTATTATTAAGATAGATATATCATATATACATACATATACATAAATATCTTCGAAATATAATTGGCATGTTCTTCTAAATTAGACTCAATCGAGTTTGACTACCTTAGGGTAGCAAATCGGGCAACTTGGAGGCATCGGCATTATCGTAGCAACCCATATCGGCCTTATACAATATACGATTTATTTCATATTGTATAGTGTATTTGGTATGCAAGCTGTATTTGCTGAGCTTGGCGTTCAGGTATTGCAGGAAGCTGGCGTTATCGTTGGCCGCTTGCAGCGAATGGGTCAAGGCATTGGCATTGCATTGGCCCGGGGCCGACGATGTTGAGGCGTGCGATCCCACAGTGGCATGAAATGGATCCTCGTCGGGATACATGTAGGATTCGCTGGAATCGTTCAGGCCATCCGGTGAATGGACCACTTCGCACAGCTCCTCCTTGCCAATGTCCACAGTCTCGAATTGGCCATTGCCACTGGAGGTGTCGTCGTCATTGGGGCATACCTCCGGCACGGGCATCTGGAATGTAAGAAAGTTGGATCAGTATATATGGAATATATGCATTCGATTCAAGTAACTTTGGGTATTGCTTACGAGTTGGAGATTTTAGTTTAGATAGTGCTCAAAATATTGGTATGGTATATGGATATATGTACATATATAGACATATGGATATACGGCTTCATCTGATACTTCTCGAAAGTTACAGATCTTTAACGGTATATGCATATATGTATCTGCATATGCATTCAATTGGAATTATGGATGTGTGGGATATCTACATATGTATGTATTGCCACGAAGTTCAGATTTTTAGAATCGACTTTTGTTTAACGTGGTGTAACACTTGTATAACTGTCATACGGAGAGGTAGTAGAAACCAATTGCAAAACAGTTGGTCTAATTTGTTTAACGTGTGAGCTAGAGTAATACGGAGGAGATGAAACAGAGACAGAGGAAGGAAAATAAGAGTGATTGAGAGCGAGAGTGAGAGAGCTTACTTGATCTCAACTATATATTACCTGCGGTTGACCCGGCTCATCAAGTCTGAATACCAACTTTTCCTATTGGTTTGGTAATATTTATATGAATATATACATACATACATACATATGTATATACATATATGTACATTTTTAAAAGATAAAGCATATAATAAAATTATATATATATAGAGAGAGAGAGATTTCGAATCAGTATTACGTCTTACCGATTTGATAAACAGTTTGTGTGGCTGCGTCTCGAATTTGAACATAGATGACAATGGGCCCGTATCGGCTGAGCCGGATCGGTTCGCATTGGCTGATCGACGGCGCTGCTTCTCTAGCATCACCTCGGCGTACGTGGCCGGGTGTTTGCGCTTTAGATGGCGCATCAGGTTCTCCGAGTGCCTGCCGGCCATATCGAACAGGCATACTTTGCATGTGCTTTTGTGGGTCTCGTCGTTGTAAATGAAATGATTGTTAACTGGATTTTTGCAACGCTTAGGCGACATTATGTTCAACAACGACAGTAATAATATTAACAATAATAACAACAACAATAACAAATGGCAAACGACGATAAATATAATTTAAATAACAGCAACGACGACGACGACGACGACAAGTTCCAAAATAAACAACAGAAAAGCGTGCGTCGTACTTGAGTATCGTTCGTTTACTGAACGAGCTGCGAGAGAGCCAAACCAGAGTAGGAACCAATTCATGAACCGGTGCCAGGCACGCAATATGCATAGTAGAACTGGTAGCTCTAGTAGCCTCTCGCTCGCTCGCACTCCAGTGTGGCTGTCACAGCGCGCAAATCTGCTAAAAAAAAGAGTGCTCTGAGTGCGGCGGTTCACAGCAAACGGTTCGTAGTTGGAGCACACACACACTGGTGCACACGAATCTGTATACACAAAACGTAAGAAACCAGCGCACACTCACACATACAGTCGCAGGCGAAGAGCACGTTGAGAGTAAACGAAACATCGAACCGGTTTGAAACGGTTTCTGTTTGTTGTTGTGCTTGCATTTTACTGGTGTTATTGCTGCTGTGGCTGTCGCTGCCGCCGTAGACGTCGCTGCCACTGCTTGCTCTTATTATTGTTACTGTTGTTGTTGTTGGCGTTGTGCGCTTAAACACGTTATGGAATCTGAGGGTCATTTATGTGTGTGTTTCTTACTCAATGCTTTGTTGTTACTCAGCCAGTCGAACTTTTATTTGAAGACAACAACAAACAAATAAAACAACAACATAAATTCAGAAATTCGCACGCAATTAAAACAAAGCTAAGTAGCCAAACAGCTGATTAAAGCTATGGCACTATCCTGCTTAACAGCATATTCAACTCGAGTTTAAGAGAGTGAGAGAGAGGCATTGGGTCGAACCGGCGCTGAAGAGCGGCTTGTGCATGCATATGTATGCATATTTGTGTTTGTGTGTATTGTTTTCGTTCTGTTTTCGCTTACAAATCATTAAGATGTTCAATTGAATTTATTGCAAATGACACTCACACACACATACACGCATATGCAAAGTCACAAAGTACACGATTATTGTTCCGTGTAGTGTTGTCAATTTGGCTATTTTCCCGTCAGTTTTGGCGTTTTGCAAACACGGACCGCGGCAGAAATTGTGAATTCGCAACTGGCGGAAATTAAAGCTATAGTAAACAATTAAAGTTTACGTACGCAAAGATTTAAATTAAATTCTATTAGAAAATATTAAAAGTATTTTCATTAAATTAAATTAAATGTATGTTTAAATGAGCTGCAAAACTAATTTTATTTTTT